AGAGAGAGAGAGAGAGAGAGAGAAAGAGAGAGAGAGAAAGAAAGAAAGAAAGAAAGAGAGAGAGACCCTATGCTCTCTTGACTGGAAGAAAATAATACTTAACTGAATATAAAGTCCCAATAAGGGAGAATACTGTAACTTTTGAGAGTAGGATAACGTACACAAGTTCAGGAATACGAACTTCTCTTTATGTCTCGTTATCAAACTCATGTAGTAACAGGATCATGCCAAAATGAAGGAAATGTTTAGCCTTAACATACCTTAACCTCGTGGAGTCCTTAATAGCTTCCAAGGAACTCTTCAAACAACTCCACTTAGTCTACCATAGCATAAGGAGATTCAAAATCTGTTCTGAGTAAAGGCCAAGTCTGTAACTTAAGCTAGTAGCTCGTTTATGTAAATTTGGGCAGCATCTCCCTTGTAACAAGGGACTTTTCCAATACCATATAACAACAGCCCAACAACACCAATCAATCTACACAACAACAAGTGAACAAACGTCACACACAAAACTGTTATTTAACACGACGAGCGGCAAGCTTGGATTGGAACCAAACCCCAACTCTTTTTCCCATCTCCCCTTAAACAATAGGTCCACCATATAAACATATATATTGACATGACATTCCAACCTTATATCCATCATAAATGTAACATTAACCAGCCCCACAAGATAAAACAACGACACGAACAACTTCTAGGTATTGTGTGGTTGCTTCTTCTCCTATTTACAGCATCATCAATATACTCAACATATTTAAAAGCATAACAACAATAATAACATTATAAACAAGTTATTCCCCACTATTTCCAGCCATATGAAGTCATATATATAACTCCAAAATAGTCCAATAAGAGACAACAATTTCTTATACAACTTTAAGTTCTATCTTATAATGTTTCATCCAAATAACTTAACCAACACATAGATAACATTAATACCAAGAAATAAGGTGTTATACATATCTTAAATAATCTGGAAAAACTCGAACCAAAACTTCCCTTAGCTTATAAGCACCATTATTCACATCACAACACCATAGAGACTCGCTTCTTCACTTAGGCTAACTTTTGAGGTTAGGTTTAGGTAAAACACCATTGGATTCGACTTGGAATCCTTGAGAAATGTTAGAGAGGTGTTGAGAGGGTTTGGGAACTGTCCTTGGTAAAAAATGACAAAAAACTAAATCGTCCAAGCCCTTTAGAATGTTCAAGGATCGTCCACCGCCTAAGTGGGTCCCATTGAGAGCTGCTTGCGGGGTCTCGTAAAAATGTGAATATCTCTCTACTCCGATGTTGAATTTTTCCTTTACAATTTCACCTCTGTTCGACTCAATATAGCCAAAGACGACTTAAATACATCAAAAAATACAAGAGAAAACAATTTCAATTAACAAAGCTATGATCTTTATACAATTTCTAAAAAGTCAAGAAAAAGCCTGCACCGAGCCCGCCCGGTCAAAACCCGGGTCCAAGGGTAGGTCTTGACTACCCATAGCCCCACGAGTCCATATACGTGTTTTGTTTTCAAATCCGAGTTCAATTGAACTCTCAAATCCCAAATTTTAATTTTTCAAAAGTTTTACATAATCCCCAAATTTTTCCCTTAGATTCTCAAGAATTTGATGTTAAATCTATTGTATAATCAAAAAATATAATTGAAAATTGATTAGAGACACTTACCCAACGGTTTGGTATGAAAATTCTTCCACAAAATTGCCTCCCATCGGTTAGGGTTCAAAACATAATAAAATAAAGCTATGTTTCGGAATACTCAGCTATAAGCAAGCTGCAGATGTCGCATTTGCGACACTGGGTTCACAAATGCGAACTCGCAAAAGCGAAGAATCCTTCGCAAAAGCGAAGCTTGAACAATTCTGACGTCTTCACAAATGCAAAAAAAAATGTCGCAAATGCGGACACTGGTCTTCGCAAAAGCGACCCCCAACTCAGGCCTTCATCGCAAATGTGATACAAAGTTCGCAAATGCGAATTCTACACGCTTCGCAAAAGCGATCCTTTCTTCGAAAATGTGATCCCTTCCCCAGCAGCCCAGGTTCGCAAATGCGAGGACTACCTCGCGAATGCGGTAGTCGCATCTGCAACAAAAATATCACAAATGCGATGGAACCAGTACCCGCACTTAACAATTTAACAAAATCAATCTGAAACTCACCCCAAGGCTCCAAAACAAACACCCACACCTGTCCAAAAACATAACACAAACTCGCTCGCGCGATCGGAACACCAAAATAACCTCTAGAAGCACAAATCGGACGCCAAAATGCATGAGAGTCACAATGAAGTTCAAGAACTTCTAGAATCGCAACCAATCGTCTGAACCATATCAAATCAACTCCAAATGACACTGAATTTTGCAGGCAAGTTCCATATGACGAATCAGACATATTCCAACTCCCGAAATCAAAATCGGAATCCAATAGCCTTAAAGTCAAATCATGGTCAAACTTGGGAAATTCCGCCAAATGATGTTAAAACCTCTTAGAAACATCCAAATGCAAATTCGGGCATACGCCCAAGTCCACAATCACCATCCGGACTTACCGGAACCATAAAAACTCTGATCTGAGGTCAAATACTTAAAAGTCTTGGTCAATTCTTTCAACTTCGAGTTTCTCAAACGACAGTCACTCCTTAAAATCATTTCCGAACCACTCAAAAATCCGAGCCGATGATGCACGCAAGTCGTAATACACTATGTGAAGTTACTCATGACCTCAAACTGACGAACCAGACGCAATTGCTCGAAATGACTAGCCGGGTCGTTACACTTTCACATGCTATCACTAGATACATTGTATAAAATGTTTGGTTATAATATTAAATAGTCATATCAATGTTGGACAAATAAAAATAAAAATATAATTAAATATATATCTCAACAAAATAAGATTGAAAAATAATTAATTATGTGATGAACTAATTTAACACTAGAAAAGTCTTTATGCAACGGGAAAAAAATATGATGATGAAGAATTCAAATGTGAAAATATAATAGTATAAAGCAAAAATTAGTAAAATCAAAAATAATAACGTGAAGTTATAAATCATATTAAGGGTTAAATTATTATTATCTTACTTAGCGCGAGTCATAAATTATAAACATTCTACGTTGCTGATCAGCAAGTTCCTTCAACGTACACAATCATTCAACCTCTATTATGTCCATCTCTCAGACAGACGTCTCTGCCCCGGCTGCCCCCTAATACTTGCAACTAGAAAACTTGCAAGGGGGTCTTTAGTCCGTAACATTGTAATCATGGGATTACAATTCCATATTTCACATGAGATACCTAATACTAAGACTTTGGTATAAAATTCTATCCCAATATTAAAATTTGTTTTCTATATCGAAAGAGAAACAAAGCAACAAAAGAAAACTAGCTAGAAATCTGAGAATAAATAGTCATTATATCTCCCGCAACAAGCGAAAAAATACTAGAAGGCATAAGCATATGCCATTCAAAACGAGACTCTTGACTAAAGGCCAAATTGATCAAAATGTGGTTGACAATATTACGGTTCCGATAAAGCACAGATCTAGACAGCAAAACATGAATCACAGTAGAATTATCAATTTACATGGCAAATATCCCAATGTTAATTAATATCACTATCCAAATACCGAATAGATATAACTCAAATTTTATACTGGTTAGTATTCTAATCTCGGTAACCAAACAAAATAACAAACCACCAAACAACCCCTAATAAGCAATTCACTTTTAAATAGGAAAAAAACCACAGGAAAAAACACAAATGGAGAATGAGAATGGTGAAGAAGATGAGAGGAGTACTACTTGTCTGTGGATGCTACCGGAGGGTTGTATCGCAGAGATCTTAGCCTTAACAAGCCCTATCGACGTTTGCCGCCTTTCCTTAGTCTCTGCATCTGTCCGATCCGCCGCTGATTCCGATTCCGTTTGGGCAAAATTCCTGCCGTCCGATTATCGGTCCATCATTTCCCAATCACTCACTCCGATCCCCGATTTCCGTTCAAACAAGGATCTATATGTTTATCTTTGCCATCATCCCGTCTTAATTGATGAAGGTCGAAAGGTAAAAATACGATAGTTTTTGTCAGTAATTTTGTATTTCCGTGGGATCAAAGTAGTTGTAACTTGCTGCTGGTTGTTACTGTCTTGTTTTTTTTTCCGGTTTTTCTTTTTCCTTTTTGAAAGTAAATCTGAATATCAACATTTCTATCCTCTTATGGAAAATATTACCCTTGGCTTTATCCATTCATGGAGAAAGGTAAAAAGCTACTGGCAATCTGTGTTTACACCAAACCAAAAGATGCATAACATGTGTTTGCATATAGAATTCTTTTACATAACCATGATTAATTGATACTTATTTCCTCATTAAATGATTTAACTATGATAAGTTAATCGGCTTGACTTAAACACTGAGTGCAAGTAAATTTTTAGCGAGTTGAACTGGCAATTATTGAATATTGAATTTGCAACTCGAAGTCCTTTGGTAAGGTGAATTCAATTAGGATGATTATTTTTTGTACAAAGGTGAGCACCAATGTAACAATACCGAGCTTCCTCACTATATTGATAAGAACTAGAATAGTGGTTACAACCTTGAGATATCAAATGCAACACTCAAACTAATGAATTACAATGGAAACTATTGAAATAACAAGTGACTAAAGATAGAGATAAGAATGGGGATGAGAAGCAGAACTCAGACGAAGGGGTTGAGGGAATACAGATACTTCATAACATTTCGCATAATTCTCAATTTTCTAGAATTTCTCTTAGATTCAAACCCATAGCTGATGATAGAACTAGAATAGATATTTT